TTTTTTACCATTATACTTGAGAATTTGGAAATCCAAAACCATGTCAGCGAAACACAATTTATTTGTAAGTTGGTGTTTTATACTCCACATCAAATAACCAAATGGCTAAAATCAGGTCATCGAGTCCGGTAGTATTCATTTGTATAAAGTGCTCAGGTGTTCATAGAAGTCTTGGAGTTCATATATCAAAGGTATTCACTAAACAGTAAACTTTTTGCTTTTCAATTAGCAATTACATTGATTACTTACCAACTGTGCTGATTATTTGAATTGGAAATTTTTAGCCTATTCTAGGATTTCTATTTATCCCACTTCTCATCAAAACCGAATTAGCTAATAATCCATCAAAATCACCACACCCTAATACATATCCATAATGAAATCATCAAAAAATTAGAAATTTTTGGTAAAATAATTTTCTGATGACATAAACCACCATAAATGGGGGTCACGTCGACAGTACTAACTCAGATCTAGGGTTTTAACCGCGGCGATCACGACCAAAACCCTAGCTCAGATCTAGGGTTTCAAATGGAGGGGAAGAGAGAGGAGACGGTAGAGAGAGGAAGAGAGAGAGAGAGGAGACGGTAGAGAGAGGGAGAGAGAGAGAGAGAGAGAGAGAGAGAGAGAGAGAGAGAGAGAGAGAGAGAGAGAGAGTAGAGTAGAGGAGGAAGAGACTGCCTGCGATACAGAGAGATCGAGATCGAGATTTTGAGGAGTCCAGACTTCGACACGAGCGTGAGAGAGGGGAAAAAAGAGGAGTCGGAGTTTTGAGGGGTTGGGATTTTGTGAGGTGATGATTTGACAAATACCAACAATCGTGGAGAAATTTGAAATCCACAGCTTTGGGCTTTTCAAGTTCACTCAATAAAATGACTTGATTTAAAATCATGGTCCAAAGTTGAGCCCAAACATGATATTTAGATTTGAAATGCTCAGAATTTCAAATCCAAGCCCAAATCAGCATTCCAGCCTAAGGCTGCGTTTGGGAACTTTGATTTGGATTTGGGAAGTTGATTTAAAATCAAGGGATTTTAAATTTAGGATTTGAAATCAATGATTTAAGAAATCTTTTGTTTGGATATCTTTATTAAATGAAAGGATTTGAAATCTTTGATTTCAAAATCTAGTGTTTGGGTACTTTATTATACATGAATTTGAATTTAAAATTGATGAAAATTTATTCTCTTAACCCATCTTGTTTACATCAAATGCAATGGAGATGTGTAAAATAGTAACCAAAAAACACAAATTGAGGTAATTTTGGTGATGACAACTACATTTGCTAAGTTTTTAAATTCATTGCCCACCATAACTTGCAAGAGTTTCAACAAAATGAAAATGAAGAAAACTCTACAAACATATCAAGTATCTTTCAATTTTTCCGTTAACGTACTTGGACATCACTTTGATATACTCTCCACTAGTATCTTTCACAAAGACATCCAATAAAAGAGCAACTGTACCAAACCACAAACCATCAGATGCCAATATATTGGAGTATACTATAAGCCACAGTCATTCACCATAGAAGCAAACACCACAACAAGTGACAATGAGAAACAAAAAAGGTGAGACCAAAGCACAACCACCTTCAGTACAATATATCAGCTCACCAATGCAAACACCAAAAGTAAGAAACTTCACAGGAATCATTTGTCCTCATGAAACTTCACAGGAATCATTTGTCAACATACAAAAACAATTCCTTCTACTTCTGGCAATAAGCTCAGAGAACAGAGAAGGCCCAAATAACATCAAACCAAATCCAATATCCTTTTGGATGTGAAAGAGAACATGTTTAATGACTTCATTGTTGAAGAGGAGGTCCATCCTGACTTCATTTGAAGGTAAAGCCTGCTTTTTCTTCTTTTTTCGGCTTGAGCTTGTAATATGCCACAGTACCAAAGGGGTAAAGCATTCTATATGCAAAGTGATTATTTTGTTGCAATGTGACTTAATTTATACTCCAAGCTCATTATAACTGTAGAAAAGATATCGTTAATTTTCAGACTTAGGCTATCACTTAGGTCTAGTGAAGATAACAACAGCTACAAGGGTCATGCTCACCAGTATTGCTTTACTTAAGGGTTGAGATACCAAATTACCCTGTAAAATATAAAATGAAATATACCGTCACACATTATTTTCTGTGATACTCTTCATAAGATTTGTTCACAGAATTACAGGTCTCATATATATCTCCCTATGGTTTATGTTTTCTATTGATAACATCTGCTAGGTCTGAAAATAATACTTATAATAGAATACTCAAATAATGTAATATCAAACTTTTTGAGGAAGAAAATAAGAAAAAGAAAAGAAAATCTCTCATATGGGCTGAAATTCCAATTTGCTATTCCTCAGCATGCTGTCACTCGTTACTTGTAGCGAGCTTTTGGCAATTAGCTTCGAGGAAAGCCCAACTTGATCAGAGTCACGGCGAAAAGTATCTACAGATCAGCATTTGTAATTATTTAATGGATTAATGTTTTGGATCAGCATTTGTGTAGCTATGGATCACACATATATATATATCCAAGTCCTTAACACGTTTACATCTTGCATGTTTATTCCAGTTTCAAGTGGTAAAAGATAAAGCCACCTAAAATATAAAACCATCATTGTGATAGTAGAGGTAACATGTGACTGTTTTATTCCTAGAAATTGGAATGGACGGTAAGGGGATTGAGTAGGTTCAACATTTTCCACCTATTTGGAAATGTTTGCAGCTTTGGTTACACACAATATAGGACTTACAAAATTGAATGCCTTAGGATCAACCTAATGAAAGATACATTTTAGAAATGCATCATAATCAAGTATACACTAAATAAAAAGAACAGAATTCTCAATAAAATGAAAAATTTGTACCTTTGAGATGAGACAAGCACTCCTTACTTGAATTAGCTAAGAATCCATCAAAATCACCAAACCCTAATGCATTCATAAGAAATCATCAAAAAATTAGAACTATTCGGTTAAAAATATTGTGAAGAATAACATTGAGATGAAGAAAAGTAGTCCGACCTGAAAACTAGAAACTACTCCTTAAGAATAAAGAGAATAAAATCAGCACTAATAAACACATTAAACACGAAACTCGCAAACTTTTTTGCCATGTTACGAAACAATGAAATATATAATGTGATTATAGCATTTAACATGTGGAAGGCGCCATTATAAAGAAGGTGTAAATTGTGTTCTGACATTTCATTACAGTGCAGCTCTAGATCAGGTATCAGGGTGTCACAGCAGGATCATTACAAAAGAAAATTAGAACTCGAGTTGAATAAGTATTAATCAGATGTCTACAAGAGAAATCAACAAGAAAGCACACAATATAGTTTCCCCAGCCGCTTAAAGATAACGAAGACGAAAAAGGTGGGAAAATGCGTGTATTTGGCTTCCCTTAGCTTTCATCAGGCCTGTGAAGATTGGAAGCAGAATGGCACAACGAGCAATTAAGTGATGATATAACAGCTTACGGATTTCGCAAACTTTTGAGCGAGGTTATATATTGTGGAGATTTCGATAGTCGTTTCTGAGCTAGTTATGTTTGCAGCTCCTTGGATAGCTGAGAGCGTATCTTAATCTAGGATTGTAGCAGGTAAGGATAAGAGTCTTAGCCTGTTCTCTTCAGTGCTTTCACTAGTAGTTTGTCCAGTATTGTCCCGAGACAAAAGCATACAAATGAGCTTTTGTATTGTCCTGAGACAAAAGAGATTTGTCCGAGCAGCGTTTATCTCCGTTGCAGCACGAGGACTCCTTAAACATGATGTAGATGAAAAAAGTTTAAACCCTGTCTGAACTTGAAGTCTCTGAATTTAAATTGAACAAAGAGAGACATAAATCCATAGTAAAACACCAGAGGGGACATTTATACTAGCTTGTGAGTACTACTTAAACGAGACACAATGGATGGCTAACTGGACATGTACTCTTCATTGGATGCTATTGTCTACTAATATATTATTGATTTCCAAACTGGATGACAAAGAATATGAACTCTGGCTGAAAAATGATACAAACAGGATGCAAATTTTTCAGCTTCTTGTTTGAATCATAGAATCATATGGGAAAACTAAAAAAATGTGTATTTTCTATTTCTAATGCCGAACAATTCCTTACATTTCTAAATGTCCTGTAAAAAGGTAATACCTCATAAAGATGCAAGAGAGAATGATATATATATTTTTAAAAGAAAAAACGACATGATACTTCTCCATTCAAATTTGAGACTGACTTTTAATTATAGATACTTCTTCATAAAGGTGATATTTCCTTTATCATTTAATTATAGTATTATAGATAGGTGAAAAGTCCCACCAACCAATCTCTAACTAATACCCTATAAATCACCAAAGTAACCCAAGTGAAACTAAATATCTACAACAAGAAAATAATCACAAATTAAAGAATCAGATGAAAGAATCACAATTGTAACTTTGAAAGTATATTACCATAATCACAAGCCGAGAAGATCGAAAAAAGCACTTGCATATTACACCGATGTTGAAGAAGAAAAGGGTTTTGGGGCTAAATAGCTGCAACAATTCAATCAAACAAAATTATTATTAACACTATATAAACCCTAGATCGAGATCAAAACCACAGAGAGAGAGAGAGAGAGAGAGAGAGAGAGAGGGGATCACGAAAATTCCTCTTTGTTATCGGGTCGGGATTTGATAAATGACAAACGTTGGGTTGGAATTTGAAATCAGGGGTTTTGGGCTTTCAAATTCCTATTTGTTAAATCAATTGATTTAAAATCTAAGTTCAAATCAGAACCCAAACTAGTTATTTGGATTTGAAATACCCTGGATTTTAAATCCAGGCCCAAATCCAAATCCAAGTTCCCAAACACACCTAAAGGTATTTGAGCGCTGCGAGTAGCAGCCAGCACAGGTGGGCTACGCAATATCACTGTATATACCCAATAAGACGAACAAGTAGCCCATCTGACTGCAGTTTATCTATGTTTATCCCACACAATTGGATTGGTTTGAAGATTATAAGGAGCAGATTACAGCCATGTTATTTACAAACTTCGGCCTATGAACTACATATACAACAAATGGCCAAAAGCTTACAACAAATTTGATTGTTCAATCGCAGCTGGATTGAGAAATCCAACTTGCAATGAAAAAGAAGTGTGATACATCCGTCTGAAAAAGGTTTATGCTCTTGTCCAGTCATATAACCTATCTTCCAGCTAAGTGAGATAATTTCTTATCACCATGAACCTGTATATGATCTGTAGTAGTCAAGTTTTGTCGGTCAGCTGTGTTCTTCAATTGATGCGTGCCCAATGTTCAGCAGCTCTGGCAAACAAAATGAAGAAACAGTCAGTAAATAGAAGGATCCATCAGATACGGTATGAAGGTATTATAATCTGTTTTTGATGAAGCGAACGAACCGTGAATCTCTTAGCTGCTCTTTTCTCCACCACAAAAAACTCCTGATAAAAAAAAGTATTGATTGCTAAAATATTCATTTAAAGAATATCTTCAAAAACACGGGCTTCTTAAAGAAGGAAATGGGAAATTCAGACAGCGGAAGCCGAATCTCTAGCGGTTTAAGTCTAGTAGTCCCAAGTTCTGTAGGCAAAGTACTAAGAGAGAGCTTCTACATTATTAGCCTAAAGCTCCATAAAGGTGAGGGGAAGGAACGAGTTTCCATCTCTCATCTTAGATAATTATGCTTTCCTATAGCAGCAAATAAATGTTAACCTATCAAATAATACAAATTATGCGTACAGGTGGGTTCCACATGAGTTTAACATTTCTTCTAAATATCAAGCTATTTGTTTCTGGACTTATAGAGCAAACTTATGGGAGTCCTCTCAGAGAAGAAGGAAATGGTGGCGTATCTCAACATAGAACCACAACGCCAAAATATCTCTAAGTATATATTTCAACAAAAAGTAGCTTGTTTGTTCTTTGCTTCCAGAGAAGACCAAGTTCTAACGCAGACACCGTGTTCAAAGATGGATTCATTCCCTAAACAACATATATAGCCTAATAGCCAATTCCCAAAGTCAACAACACTGTGCCGCAAAAACTGGCCAATATGCTGCAAATCGACAATACAACTTCTGCATGTAACAGCTTAAACTTCAAGAGATGTATTGGATTTTGTGATGAAAAATTAGTCTATCGGCTTGAGGTTTAAAGCAGAACCATAGGTTAGTCAAGATGTATGTCAATGCCCTGACACATAAAGGCTATACATGCTATAAAATGGTAAAAGTGGAACTACCAACTTTCAACCAGGAGCTGTAGCTGAACTAGTTTCATGTGAACAGCTGATGATGATGCTATACATACATGCATATACATATATGTCACATTTGGCATTTGTATGTATATAGGAAATAAAGGTATTTCTATACCCGTTTGATATAATCTATAATTCTGAGAAACTAATATTTAGGAGTTCATAATAAATTATTTATGTTACCAACAATATTATCGAGGTTGAAACTCACCCTCAGATTTTATCTCAGTTTGCAGCTCATCCACGTATCTCAAGAATCATAAATCCTGATGGACGACCGAATACTCTGTCGACAGACTGGACACTTGGGTGACAAATCATGTTCAACTGACATGGCACACCTAGGGCAACAGGAAAGATGTCCACAAGGAATAAAAGCAGATCTTCTCTGCCTTGTAAGACAGATGACACAAAGCTGCCCATCAGGTACATCTCCCAACTCTTCATCACTGTTGCTTTGTACCGCACTTTCATTTTGTTGCTCTCGAGTCTGCC